CCCGTCGAATCTCTTTTTTTGATTTTTAAACATTTTTCGCTGAAAATGAGCAAAGGTTTATGTTTTTGGCCCGATTCCGCCATTAATCGAGCGAAAAGCTTGGAGCTTTCGTCAACAAAATTGTTTTTTTTTCAGATAAACCACGACCTCGATCGAACGATGACAACGAAAGTGATTTCTTACAAAAGTGGACAGAAGAAAGTTGACAATACTGGTCCCGCGATCGTGTTGGAATCAGGTGAAAAAGATGGCATCAAACAGTAAGTAAAATAACATAATTTCGATAAAATTCTATTCAATTTTTCAGTACATGGAGTGTACGTGTCGATACTTCTTCTAGAGCCAATTTCATATGGAACATTGATTGGAAAGATTTGAAAAACCAAGGAGCTCATCGTCTTGTTGGACATTTGATAGTCAGTTCTGTTTACGACCATTGGTATCCACAAAGAGTAGATATTGATTGGACTGACACGAACCATTCAGTTTTGGCAGCAATTAAAAATAGCCCTAAAAAATATCCCTACTCGAGAAGTTTTAAGTACAATCCCACTGGTTACTACGCTGAATCGTCCCCACCCGAGAAGATGTCTAATTCCTTCTTCGTCATTTTTGAGTACAATCTCACTGCTCACTACGCTGAATCGTCTCCACCCGATAAGATGTCTTATGAAAAACTGTTTGTGGCTTCCGATAAAACAGATGTGGTTCTTGTTGTCGATGGAAAGAAGCTGAATGTTAACAAATCGGTAGGTCTCAGAAACCTAGAAAATTTCCAAATTCTACTTTTTCCAGTTCCTTTCCATCCACTCCGACTATTTCTCCAATCTTTTCTCCGCGAATTTCAAAGAAGGACAAATGAAAGAAATCGAAATCAAAGAAGTTTCGTATGAAGATTTTGGGCTTCTTTGCAGCAGTTTCTATCCGGATCCGCAGTTTCCAAACGGTAATTTTATCGATTTTTTATGCCAAAAGTTGATAAATTTTCAGATCAAACTGTCGAGAAACTTCTGGAGATGGCTAGCCGTTTTCAAGTGTCATCAGTTGTTGGAATCGTTGAATATCATCTTCTTAACAATTCAACAATTGGATATGAGAAAATGTTATGGTTTGCTGATGAATACCAAATGCCGAAGCTTCTAGAGAAGTGTATCAGTCAAATGAACTCACTGGCGATGGCTAAGAAATTGGAGAAGTCTCCGGAATTCGAAAAGTTATCAGATAGAACTAGCTCGCTGATTTTCAGACAACTTTTGAAATCTCTCTGATGTTTTGTGATTTTTTTAAATAATTTTTTGAAATGAAGTTTTTTATTTAATTACAGAAATAAATAGGAAATTTTCAGTTTTTATACAGTATCCAACATTTTTATACAGTATCCGACATGTGTTTTTTTCATGCGGTAATTCCAAAATTCAGAAGCATCTTGAAATGTTTCTTCACTTTTTAAATTCAAAATCTGGTTGAAATTTTCGATTTTCACTTTTCAGATGAAGACAGAAAAATTTAAAACAAGCCCGAAAAACTGATAATGAAAATATTGATTCTTCTTATCAGTAACACAATTTTCTGCTCTCTTGCTAGCTCTAAAAATGTTGATTTCTCTTTTCATTCATATTTTTTACTACTCGTTTGATCTTTAAAAATATTTTTCTCTTTCCTCTACTAAAAACTAAAAACTGAAAGAGGAGATAGATTTTTTCTGTAAAAAACTTTCAAACATGACCATTTTTCCCATTTTTTTTTCGTAAAACGACCATACATGGATCTATAACCACTAATTAATTTTTTAAGAATCATTTGAATCATCTTCAATCTCCACAAAATCAGATAAAAAATTCTGAAATTATGGTTTTAGACCTGCAATTTTGATCGCGCCAGACTTTTTTTGTAGATCAAAAATTAATTTGCAGTTCGGAATTGTTCTGTGGGAGAGCGTGCATTAACGAAAAAAAACTATGAAATTGTTGAAATTTTCAAGAAAAAAGATTTGTAGTCCTCGAGGACAAGCAATTTGGGGTGTCGAAATCCGGCTGTGTATAAAATCATGGTATTCTAGAGAAGGCGGATACATAAATAGAACATAAGCATAAATAGAACTTTGAATATTAAATACAAAAAACTGTTTTTCCTAACGATGCTCCACTTTTACAGGTGCGCCTATTTTAGCAGCTTTGCAGCCGTTCGAACCTGGTTCTGTTTTCTCCAGACCCCCCTTCTCTCCCAGTTTTCACCCGTCGAATCTCTTTTTTTGATTTTTAAACATTTTTCGCTGAAAATGAGCAAAGGTTTATGTTTTTGGCCCGATTCCGCCATTAATCGAGCGAAAAGCTTGGAGCTTTCGTCAACAAAACTGTTTTTTTTTCCAGATAAACCACGACCTCGATCGAACGATGACAACGAAAGTGATTTCTTACAAAAGTGGACAGAAGAAAGTTGACAATACTGGTCCCGCGATCGTGTTGGAATCAGGTGAAAAAGATGGCATCAAACAGTAAGTAAAATAACATAATTTCGATAATATTCTATTCAAATTTTCAGTACATGGAGTGGCGGTATCGATATTTATCCTAGAGTCAATTTCACATTGAACATTGATTGGAAAGATTTGAAAAACCAAGGAGCTCATCGTCTTGTTGGACATTTGATACTCAGTTCTGTTTACGCCCATTATCAAACACAAAGATTAGATATTGATTGGACTGACACGAACCAGTCAGTTTTGGTAGCAATTGGAAGTAGCCCTGTTTCCTTCCCGGTCAGTTTTGAGTACAATCTCACTGCTCACTACGCTGAATCGTCTCCACCCGATAAGATGTCTTATGAAAAACTGTTTGTGGCTTCCGATAAAACAGATGTGGTTCTTGTTGTCGATGGAAAGAAGCTGAATGTTAACAAATCGGTAGGTCTCAGAAACCTAGAAAATTTCCAAATTCTACTTTTTCCAGTTCCTTTCCATCCACTCCGACTATTTCTCCAATCTTTTCTCTTCGAATTCCAAAGAAGGACAAATGAAAGAAATCGAAATCAAAGAAGTTTCGTATGAAGATTTTGGGCTTCTTCTTGCTACTTTCTACCCGAATCCGCAGTTTCCAAACGGTAATTTTATCGATTTTTTATGCCAAAAGTTGATAAATTTTCAGATCAAACTGTCGAGAAACTTCTGGAGATGGCTAGCCGTTTTCAAGTGTCATCAGTTGTTGGAATTGTCGAATATCACCTTCTCAATAATTCAAGAATCGGATATGAGAAAATGCTCTGTTTGGCCGATGAGTACGTGATGCCGAAGCTTTTGAAGAAGTGTATCAGCCAGATGGACTCATCAGAGAAGGCTAGAAAGTTGAAGAAGTCTCCGGAATTCGAAAAGTTGTCGGTTAACACCAGATCGCTGATTTTGGGACGTCTTCTTGAATTTATCTGAATGATTCGAGAATTTTTCTTGTTTTTTTCCTGTTGTTGTTTGCCACTTTATTACATTTTCCTTGTAATTTGTCCTTTTAAACAATAAAATTGAGTTCATATTAAGCTTTCATTTTCGGTCGTTAGCGACCGTGACGCAGGCACGCGACGCGTCCGCATGTAACAAAAAAATTGATTGAAATAGTCCGAATTTAAGGAATTTTTGACTTGAAAATTTGAAAAAAATCGCCCAAAAATTCAATTTTTCAGACGGAGTTGGCAGTTTTTTTGATTTCCAGGATAAAAAATTCCAGAAAATTTGCAGATCAAACTGTCGAGAAGCTTCTCGAAATGGCTCGACGTTTTCAAGTGTCATCAGTTGTTGGAATCATTGAATATCACCTTCTCCACATCTCAAAAATTGCATACGAAAAAATGCTATGGTTTGCTGATGAATATGCATTGTCGAAGCTTTTGGCGAAGTGTATCAGTGAGATGAATTCGGCGGAGACGGCTAAAAAGTTGAGAAAGACCGCGGAATTCGAGAAGTTATCGCTTAATACGAGATTGCTGATTTTGGAACGTCTTCTGGAGGTTATCTGAATGTTTCTAATTTGTAATTTCATCATATTTACCGCTGAATGATATTGTTTCCCACATTACTTGTTATATGTAGAGTGCCGAGTCGACTCGAAAATCGATGATTTTTGTCGACTTTGAAAATCGACACAGTCGACATTCAACAATTCGACAAGGCTATTTGTCGATGAAAATCTAACTTTTAGTTGTCGATTTTTGTCGACTTTGAGTCGACGAAAATCGATTCTTGTCGATTTTGCGTCGACGGAAATCGACAAAAATCGACAAAAGTCTACAAAAAATCGACAAAAGTCGGCGAAAAATCGACTTTTCCGGACTTCAAAGTAAAATTTCACCTCGAGAAAATTTATTTCTAATTTTTTTGGGTAGAGCAGCAACTTTGTTTTAATGAGTAAAAAAACAAATAGTGTAACTTAATTTCAACGGGGGGTGCAAAATAGAGAATCAGTATGTCTCAGAAGATGGCAAGGAAAATAGAAAAAAATTCAAAGCGAAAAAATTTTTAAAAAAGGGAAGAAACAGAAGAACAAAGTTCAGCATTAGGAATTAATGTTTCATTATTTGGGCCAAATCGTTTCCAAAAGTATCATCGTTATGCTCTCTGGAATCGTAATATTCCAAGCCTTCTGATTCATCATTCTCGTCATCATATTCGTACTCTTCTGTTGTCGACGTATTCTTCTTCGTAGATCTGAAGAAAAATCAGATTTTGTGGAAAAATAAACTTTAATATTTTACTCCAAAGTGACCAATGCCGCACAAAGAAGTTGCTGGTTAAGAGTCTTCGGTTTCATCCTGTTTCTTCGGCTATTGTTAACGACGGAGCCGCAGACTTACTGATTTTTCCATTTCTTCAACTTCTTTCTCGTGGTGACTGTTACAGGACCGAGGGACCCAGGGACCCAAGGACCCAGGGACCCAGGGACCCAGGGACCCAGGGACCCAGGGACCCAGGGACCCAGAGACCCAGGGACCCAGGGACCCAGGGACCCAAGGACCCAGGGACCCAGGGACCCAGGACCCAGGGACCCAGGACCCAGGACCCAGATTTTTTCATCCACAAAATAGTTTTTCATCACGTTTAAATAACTATTGAAATCTGTGAAATTCCTTTTTTAATTGGAAAATTAAAAAAAAAAAAACTTTGCAATTTTGAGCTCAATTATCTCGTTTCCAATTAGAGGTCTCAAAAATGTGCCAACTGATAAAATGTTCATCTTAAAGGTGGGGAGAAATGAAAAAAATAATTCTCTCGAAATTCCGTTCAAAGATGCCCCTCGAGGAGTTGAACTAGCGGGGTGCGAGGATTGAGGGTGCGGCGCCGCTACCGACTGAGCCACGCGGGCAAAGAGGAAGCTGCCGCCCGATTGCATACATAAAGGCGAGGAGGACAGCTGTACGCAGAGTGACATTAAGCGTTGTACACCGTGACGGTAGAATGCATACTCTAGCTACAAAAAAACTACGAAAAACTCCTGTTCCCCCACCTTTAATATCAGCAACATTTTTTTCAGTTAACAAGTTTTTGATATCACTCATAGAAACCGAAATAATTAAGCTCAAATAGAATACAAGATCTCACAATCAGAAAACTTTCTCATACAAACAATGAGTCATTTGAGGATCCAAACAATTATTTGAGGATTCACAACATTAATTCGTCATTTTCAAAGCCTGGAAAAACAAAAACCTTTGATGACTCATTTTCAAAAATAGTATATAAACTGAGATGGCAGACATTTGTTCATTTTATTCTCTTTTTTTTTGGTCACCTTCTGAATGTAGACCTTTTACTTGATTTTTTTTGTGATGTGAGTTTTAAACTATTGAAAATTAAAAAAATCTGAAAATCAAAAGTTCAGATTTCAATCATTTCAATGACTGTGACAATATGGACATGATTTTAAAAATTCCCAAAATAAATTTTTGTTTCGATTTCTTCAAGATCATCAAGGAAGAATACGACGAGAGCGGATCATCAATTGTGTTATAAAATAATAAACTTTGATTTAGCCTATTAATTTTTATAAGAACAAGGAAAGCCTTCAGTAGTGGACGTAGCTTTGGCTTCGAACGGAATCATCTTGAGTCTCTCGATGTGGTGTTCAAACCCTTCTCCTGCCTTCTGCTTGAGTTCCTCGACGAACTGTCTTTTGGCTCCTTCTGAAAATTATAGTTAATCTCTTTTCCCTCTCATTTCTCTCTTTTTCTCTTTTTCTCTTTTCCCCGGGTGGGTGGGCTGGGTGACTCGTTAAAACACGTAGAATGATTTCGAAATTCGAGTTTCATGCCCGTTCGGGCATGATCGCTTCGAGACCCGCGGTGCCTGAAAAGTGTGTGGGCCTTTAATCTCGCGCGTCCTTTTTCTCCGCTCTTCTCTTTTTTTGATTTTTTTTTTCGAAAAATTCAACTTTTGATCTACCCGCCAAAATTTCGCTCTTCTCACTTTTTTGAAAAAAAAAAGCCAAAGAAAAAAATGTTCTCACTTGGGTTCAAGCGAGGGGGTCAGAAAGCGCGCCCTAGTAAATTTTTCAAATATTCTCAATTCGCTGTCGAACTTTGTTGGCTGAGTATCACAGTTTTAAACGATGAGCGAGAATACGAGCGTTGCAACCCGTTGATTTTGAAGAAATAGATCATGATCTAGTTCAAACCCGCGTTCATTTTAAAATTATTAAATTTCTTCTGGCCTACGAGTTTGCTGGGGCGCTTTTTCTGACCCCCTTGCGCCTTAAAAAAAATATTAACGAGTGATATATTCCCAACCTAGCAAAAATACCATAAATCCAACAACTAAACATCCACAGTTTTCAAAATCAATCAAAACTTTGAATTTTTCCAAGAAGTTCCAACGTTATCGATGATTCCACTCAATAACATCTCCAAGGATCGCAGATCCTTGAAACTAATTCTATGAATTTCTCTGGAATTCCAAAAATTGATTGCTTAACTCATCGAGAAACCATCAGCTGGACCAGGTCCATTTTCTCACTTCAATTCTTTTTATATCGTACCCTGCCATTCACAAACACAGAACAATGCATTGAATATTTATTTCGCAATTAAAAGACGTTAACAAACCATAGCATGTGTTAAGTAAAAACCTCTTTTAACAATCAATAAACCAAAAATTACGAGCAAAACAACTTAACATTTTTAATCATTTAAAAATGAATATTGCTGCCCACAGGGTGCGTTACTTTCTGCGGTCAGTTCCGCAAGGGAGGCTCTCCTGGAAGAGAATGGACGTCAGGACGAGGAAGCTCTGGAATAGGCAATCCGAACGGACTGTAATCGGAGGGACGAGGGTTCCTTGGAATAGGCTCTCCAAACGGACTGTAATCGGAGGGACGAGGGTTCCTCGGACTGTAATCGGAGGGACGAGGGTTCCTTGGAATAGGCAATCCAAACGGACTGTAATCGGAGGGACGAGGGTTCCTTGGAATAGGCTCTCCAAACGGACTGTAATCGGAGGGACGAGGGTTCCTCGGACTGTAATCGGAGGGACGAGGGTTCCTTGGAATAGGCAATCCGAACGGACTGTAATCGGAGGGACGAGGGTTCAATGGCTTGTCGGAACGAGGGCGGATTATGGGTTTGCAATATCCTTTGATGGCAGGTTTATCAGCCATGACTGTGCAAAAGTTTGACGGGAGGGGCTGAAATTTTCTCATCATTACTATTATTGAACAGCAAAAGTCCCCGATTTAAAAAAAACTACTGATTTCATTGTCTATTGTTTTCATACTACTAAAATCCAGGTTCTTTAGGATTTTTGAAAACATTCGAAAAAAAATTCTACAATTCGAAAATGAGGAGGAAAAAAAGTAAAATAGGAAAGTTAATAATTTAAGAGCTAGAGCAGAAAATTGTGTTATGGACAACGAAAGGCTCGGGTTGCTGCCTCTTTTTATAGTTTCTTGTGATGTGGACAAAACAGTGGTAAAAACAGATTAAGAGCTAGCAATAAATTTGAAAATAAAGCAAAAATATGTTTTTTTACTGATAAGAAAAATAAATATTAGGAAGAAAACAGGAAAAAAAAAGAAAAAAGGTGTGCAAAAATTATTGCTGATCCAAAATTGATATTTAAATACCAACACAAATTAATTTGGGCTCATTTTTATCCACTCTAGACAATTTTTAATAGTCTAGACTACAGCTGTTATGAATGCAAATTGTCTTCCTAATGTTTATTTTTCTTATCAGTGAAAAAAAATCATATTCTCGCTCCATTGCTAGCTCTTGATTTGATTTATTTTTTCCTCCTTGCCACAAACAACTATGAAAAAAAGGCAGCAACCGATCCTTTTGTAATTAGTAGTAAAGTTTTTGGCTCCATTGCTAGCTCTTAAATAATTGACTTTGCATTTTTATTTGTTCTTCCTCATTTGCTTTTGCAATTAAATTCAAAACTTTTCTGGATTTTTTCTTTTAATTTCAGCCCCCGGACTTCTAAATCATGTCTTATAATCCCCCCTGTCCGCCCAATCATTCAAAGAAGAGTTGGTGATCAATTCATAGTTGCGAAAGGTTACGAGGGGAATTATGCGAATTATGAAAAGCCAACAGAAAAAAATAAAAATCAAGTGACCTTATCAAATGGACTGTTACTGGTGAGAAAAATATATATATATCCGGGAATTCACGAACACCGAACAATAATTGAGTGTTTATTCTGCAATTCGAAGACCATTGACAAATCATACATAGCTTGTGTTAGGTAAAAACCTCTTTCAAAGGGGGACTCCGACCAAAAATTTTTAATTGCATTAAAATGTTTTAAAAGTTATCTATTTTCCGAATATTATTGCGAAAAAATTCAAAGAAAATCTGAAATCCCCGAAAAACTGCGTTGAAAAGGAAGAAAATTCAAAAAAAGGTGCCTCCGGGGGTCGAGGATTTTCAGTGAGACACTTAGGCCACGGCAGCGGGCGCCTTTCATACTTGGCAATTTTTCCGGTATTTTTTTCAATTTCATGTCCGGCAGGTAAAAAATGTAAAAAACCACTGTCGGCGACTTGAAAAAAAGGCTGTCAGGTGCCGTGGCCTAGGTTTCTCACTGAAAATCCTCGTCCCCCGGCGGCACCTTTTTTTGAATTTTCTTCCTTTTCAACGCCGTTTTTCGGGGATTTCGGATTTTCTTTGAATTTTTTCGCAATAATATTCGGAAAATAGATAAATTTTAACACATTTTAATGCAATAAAAATTTCTGGTCGGAGTCCCCCTTTAATCATTGTTCCGTGTTTATGAATTCCTAGAAACGATATAAAAATTGAATCTGATTGAATCGTATACAGTGCGCGTCATAACTATAGGACACCTCTCCCAAATGAGTGATGTGAAAAAACCAAAAAAGATGACTGAATTTTGTGAACGCAGTTCGATTCAACATGTAGAAAAACCTATGTCCACAAAATTTCAGACCAATTGAGCCATTTTTATGTTCACAGGGCTGAAAATTCACTTTTTAGGCCGCGTCATAATTATAGGATATCCCTCTTTTCAAGTTTCTGAAAAAATTGTTTTCTGACATTTTTGTCATTTAAAAAATTTTTGGAATAAAGCGTGCATAACTTTGCTCCTGAGTAAGCTTTTCGGCTGAAATTGATAGGAAACATTTATGGAGTGATTTGCATTGTTTACTAATTGTTTTTATGATATTTTGAGCTTTTGTTACCAATTA